TTGTGGAAGACTTTCCCATCAGGCTGCTCTCTCCACTTCAGGGTGACTCCATTCACTCCTTTCTCCTTCAGCCTGTCCTGGAACTGGGAAACACAAATGGCAGACATTTTTGAAACATTAATACACTTTTTTTGTCACCAACACAAAGTTTTCTTTTTGTATTGACATAAAAAGCTTTAAGTTACAAATAAACTGCTTTATGAGCATAAGATAGACTTCTGTCTTCTTATTTGGTTCATTCTGTGATAGCAGTGTGATCACAAGACCACTAAGGTAAGGGTTAGGGTTTGTTATCAAAACAAATCAGGGATGTTGTTTTTCTGATCTCAAAAAAACACATACAACCATATAATTACATCCATGTCTGGAGTGATTATTTGTCATTTTGATATGAGAAAATTATAGTAACTAACCATTTAATAGTTTTATCCAAATCATTGGCTGCTTTTCTTTCTACACTGTTGAGGCTTCTGTTGCTGCAGAAGTTTGGTTTTTACACAGCCACCACAAGACGCTATCATCAACATACATAAAGCAAATTGAATAAGCAAAGAAATGCAAACTTCTTTATAACAACTTTAAATCTGTCCTGGGTGTATGCATTTTGGAGTCTCGCCTTTTTCAGGATATCAGCTTTCACAGCAGGGTCGTTCAGATCCACAGAGGAGTCCTCTATCTTCAGCTTTACTACCTGCCTCATTACTGGTATTTAGACACACAGAAGAAAAACATGCTGCAGAATTATTGTTGTGACACCAAACTCATACATGTAAATGAGCACCATGTTTGAGTACAGTCTAACATCAGATATGTAATGCAGTATTCTCTCTCTTCCACTGAAGTGAACAACTCACCAGGTTGAGGAGGGGCGCTGTAGCAGACAAATGGTAATTTAGTTCCACAGGGTAAAAATCTCCATTGTCCTGAACTCTGCAAAGCGGCAGCACCACATACGACACTCATCGAGTCAGTTGGGTTAATAACTGCGCGCCAGTATCTGAATGTGGAACCACTCCCATCAGACCAGTACATGTTAGGATCTCTGAACAAACCAATCCATGCCCAGTTTCCACTCGAAAATGGCAACAAGCTCTGGATCT